CTTGAGCATCTGCCTGTCTACCTACTGTTTATTGGTGGACAGTGACAAAAGCCTATGGCTTGCAGTATAGACATTATAAACAGAAGAAAGGTGAACATTTTTTCAGATTTTGTACCTACTTCTTTTTCATGGTTTTTACTTCAATGTTCTAGATAACATCGTACTTAAGGTGTAACTGTTATGAACATGATCTGGTAGGTGTAATTCCCCTTAACGTCGAATGAGGTGGCTACTTAATATGTCATTTTCATAAGAGTCTGAAAAACATGAATCAATAGCCCTATGATCCACTTACCCTGGATAAATTATCCATCACATGACATTAGCAAAAAAAAAAAAAAAAAAAAAAAAAAAAAAAAAAAAAAAAAATCATACAGTTGGTCAGTGTCTCTAGCTATTTTCTCTTAGCTTTTGTTAACTAACAAAAACCCAACCAATTACACTTTAAAGATTTAACTGGCTCTATGAACCAGTTCTTCAACCGGGCAGCAGCCCTCTAGCAGGTACAGGGCAGCTCCAAAGGGCTACACAAAAGTAAAGGTTTTTAAAGATAGAAGGGGAATGGAAAAAAGGAATTAGCAAAGAATCCATTATTTTAGGCAAGGTCGCCCTTATAAGGGGAATTAAAGGAGACTGTCAGTTCATTTCCTAGTGCTTACCAGGAAATCCCCACGTTGACTGGTTAAAGGTTACATTCCTGGGGGTTGAAGCTGTAGTTAGGTTAGGTACTAAGTCTTGGTTTGCTGATGTGGGGCCTTAACTAAGTGACACCATTTGGGGCCTATGGTTTTCTTTTTAACAGTACAAAAATCTCAAAAATTGATTCCAAAATAAGAGTTTTTTTATAACTTGTGACGAGGTGTTACCATTGAATTCATCCTGGGAAGATGCTTGAAAAAATGACTGTGGAGACTTTCATGGCTGTAGCTGTAATATATACAGAGTAAAGAAGAACATTCAATCAATCATTATAATGATTAGAAAAAAAATAATCTGCGTTAATTAGCCAGGTCTTCCAGAGCTTTCGTGGAAGGCTAGTCACATATAAAAGTAAAGACTCACACTATGAGTCAACATTTTGTACAGTAACAGATGTTTAGCTATTTTCAACTTCCATCCCTATTAGGATGCTGGACTATACTCCTACACAACCTTTGAGTTACTTGCTCAGTTGGAAAGCTCATTAGATAGAGTTCCTGAGTACAATGTAGAGGTGTGGGTTAGGAATTCATATTCTTTTCTGCTTCTCCAGTGACTCAATCTGCACACCTTATACCAAAGGGCAGAGACTCTAACTAGTGTAGGAACCCATCTCTGGCACCATTCAGTGTAGCTGTGGGGACCATTGGCATGACTCTCATAACCACCACCACCCCCCAATTGGCACACAATGATGAAGGAAAACTTCAGACTGAAGAAGGAGGTCATATCTGCTTGTTGGAACAAATGCAGTTCATACCTAAATGTCACTTGGAGAAACGTCTCTTCCTTGGCCTTGATGCTGGCAGGCTGGGCCAGGAGACACAGAGGGGGTCCTTCAGGACCAGCCAAGAGGGTCCCGGGCCACACCAAGGATGGAAATGAAGCGTGAGCCAGCAGGAGGTGAAAGCAGAGTTAATTGAAGGTATAGAGAAAATGCAGGTACGGACCGAGTGTCCAGCAGACTCATAAAGGAGACAGTCTTGTCTTTGTTCAGGGTCTGGGTTTTGTTTAGTTTAGTTTAGTTTTGTTTTGTTTTGAGGATTAGGTCTGGTGCACCTGTCCTCTCAGGCATCCAGGAACTGGTGAGAACAAAGACAAGGGCCCAGCTGTTATTCCCTGGAGCCAGGAGGTCTTAGCATTGAGATGTTTAGTTCTGGAAGTCTGGAATACAGGTATAATAGCTTCATCTGGTCATCCTTACCCGGCCCTTTCTTAGATATTATCTGTTCTAGAGAAATCGTTAACTTCTTGTCTCTCACATGGATGACATTCACTGTTTGCATTCGACGCATGTGTAGAGGGGGATACCAGTTCCTTGCAAGAATAGAAGCCAGAAAAGGAGCAAAAAGTCTATTTTTATGGAGTCTTCAGTTTCTCTCAGCCTGAAACTGGAAATTGGTCCCGACAGCGATGCTACCGGTTGGTCGGTCTGCCTGGTTGGCAAATACTGCCGCATGGTCTGGATGGATAGGACAGACTTCTCAAAGTCGATCTGTTCTCCTCACCAAGTTATAGCCACTGGATTTACCATTTCTTTCTGCAGAACCTAGTGTCCCCCACACATGCCCAGCTCTTGGCCCTGCTCACACTGTCTCCACCCCCTAATGTACAGCCCCATCTATTATTTTTTTTAATATGCAATCCTTTCAAAGCCAAATCTTCTCTTTACCCACACCCTTCCATGATTAACACCATTGTCTGTCTCTGCATTGGCAAGTAATGCACTTTACGGTGTTCAGATACAGCCCATTTTTCCTCACCTGGAGACTGAAAGGTGAGTTTTACAGCGAGACAACCACGCTCCAGTATTTTCTGTCAAGACCACAGGTAAATGTGAAGCCTCTGTTGTGAGGCAAGTCTGGGTTTTGTTCCCAGCTCTGGCACCTATTCTATATTTGAGTTACTTAGTTTCTAAAAGCCTCAGTTTTCTCATTTCTAAAACGAGGGTATTAATAGTGTTTACCTCATACAGTTGTTATCAGCATAAAGTTAGATGAAATCCAATAATGCATGGAAAGCACTTATCATGTGCCTGCACACAGTAGAGGCTCAGGAAACCTTTCTTGTAGTTGTGTGCTTCTTACACTCCTGTTTCTTTACTGGGCTGTACGCTCTTTGAGGTCAGACATTCATTTTTCATTTTTGGTCCCTAGCAAAGTTTTAAGCAGACGGTAGATTCTGGTCACCCACTTGATATACGTAGTAAAACCATACTGAATTTGTGTTAATTCTCAGTTTCAGAGTAATACAAATAGCAGAGTAAAACGAGGCAGTGGGACTTCATTTTGTTCACCGGTAGTAGGTCTGCTACGAGGTGTGACTGTGGCTTGGCCTCCAGGAAGCAGCTGTATGGTCAGAGTCAGACATCACTGGGCTGCCCTCCTTACAAGCGTCCAGAAAGCACCGAATTTGAGCAGAGAAATATGACCGTGAGAACAGGATGAGCAAATACATTTAATCTGATTAATCATTTTATTTTTATATGTTAGGCTGACTACAACAGGAATACAAGAGTTAAAGCCAGTGGCTTGACACTTGTGCAGGATAGTCATGCTTATGGCCATCCTCTGACAATATGCCTTTAAGTAAGCTCTTGTTGGAATTTTTAAAAACCTTTCTTAAAACGTGGTTGCTTTCTTTTCATGTTCCAATTGAAAGGAAATTGGAAGAGGTGCCAATTCCGTCAGACTCTGAGGAGATCTACTGACTTCAGGACATATTAGTTTTGCACAGTCACAGAGGTAGCACTTGATGACTGAGAAAGCCACAGTCATCCCTGTTGCAGCTCCCAAAACTTTCATCTTGTCAGGTCAGCCCAACTTAAAAGACACTGAGGAATGTGAGTATCTTTTCTAGATTCTTTGAAGTCAAGCCCATTTGCTGTCACAGACCACCCCTTGGCATAGAGGCCAATCTCCTTCATGGCACAACACAAAGCTTTGTGGGTGTTAGGTTATTTTAACTTGCTAATAGTGCATTTGCTATGAGGCTGATTTTCACAACTTCTGGCTCAGATGCTGTCACAAAACATTTGAAAGCCTACCTTTTCTGTATTACTAAATAACTTCTCAGTAAATGATACCCACAAATACAAAATCACTGAGTGCAAATTTCAGTTGCATTTTGTGATCTGGTTACATAAAACTACTTTGACTTAAATTAATTCAAAGTTGGGGCTAACTAGATTTTTGTGACTATTTTATCTCTAAAATGAAGTTAAAAATTTGCATTTGAAACCTCTCTTTACTGAATTTAAAGAAACATTTCCAGTTAATACCCAGCATCATTTAAATGTTGGTAGTCTGTGTAGTTGAAAAGATGAACTTTCACCTCTCTCTTTTAATCGTTGTAGATATTGCTTCACATCGTAAGAGCAGCCTACGTGGATGCCTACAAACGCACATCCCTGCTTCATATATTTTGACAGAGGGTAGAACATACTGAGAATAAAGGTAAGTACTTGCAAGTTCCCTCCACAGTTTCCTTTATACTCAATGCCAAATGTGGGATTTACCTGTAAATGCCTCAAAAAAAGCACAACATTATGCTATAATTGGACCAAATAATCATAATCAGTTGTGACTTTGATACTTCTCCAATAAAGGATTCATTATTTGGACAATAATTTTTCAGTCACAGTAAAAATCAAAAGATAAAGAGGTTTTGAGAGTCCATATTGGCTACAAAAGAAAACAGGACAAGCATTTCATATACACTTTTCTATGTGCACTCGCGTGTGTATGCATATGCACATGCACATACACACACAAACTAAACCATGTTCCCAGGGCTCAGTAGAGGAAGCACTTTTTCACTGTTAAGTGTAACGTTTTCAAAGAGGTGAACTGGCAAATTTAGGAAAGATTTAACCCAATTTTGCACAGATATTACCAATCATATTCTGTGAGGGCTTAGAGCAGATGATTAAATAGCATTTTACAAACAGCTACAGATTATCTGTCCCTAGATTTCAGGGCTGGAAGTCACCATCAGGGAATCCATAAGGTAGGCAAGCAGTTACCTGAAATCACCTTCAAGGTAAAGACCACACGGAGAGTGTGCTGTGTCAGCCTCCTACCAGCCAAGACAATCCCCAGGCAGACACTAGATAGCAATCACAGCATCACGATTGTTATGCTCAAGAAAACATCAAATAGTTGGGCCTAATTTTCACCATAATCCGCAAACTTTAGCCTGAACAATGAAATTTAATCACCAAAAATATTAAATATTAGGGTTTCAGATAATGGAATTTCCCAAGTTATCTTTGGACATTTTCTTGTTTAAAAGATGGTCACAATGGCACTTAAAAAATAAATTGGAAAATAATATGGCTTCAAGTAGACAAATAAATAGTATTTTTAATGGACATCTTTGCATTATCTATTGCCTTCCTCTTGCTTTGGTTCCGCTGATAATTTCTCCCCAAGTTTTCTAATAAGTTCTGCGAGGTCTTCTGAATTCTGAGTTTTCTCTTCAAGGAGCTCATAGCGGAGGCTTGAGATGTCCTGTTTAATTTCCTTCAGTTCCCCTTTAAAAAACAAGAGAGATAGGAAGTCAACTATAAATATATAATGCAGAGAAACTAGTGATTCTGGAACAGAATGAAATCAGTCAGTTCCACACACATCTGTAGTTTGAATCCTTTCAAAGGAAAAAACTTCCTAAGGGGGCAGGTTTCAATTTTCTCAGCTAAAGCTTTTGGTTAATGAAAAGGTTATAGAGAAAAAATTATAACAAAAGTCCCAAGGAAATTGGAAGAGGTGCCAATTCCGTCGGACTCTGAGGAAATCTGCTGACTTGAGGACCTATTAGTTTTGAACAGTCACAGGGGTAGCACTTGATGGTAGTGCCTTCTACTGAGAAAGCCACAGTCATTACTGTTGCAGGTCCCAAAACTTACATCTTGTCAGGTCAACCCAACTTAAAAGACACTGAGGAATCTGAGTATCTTTTCTAGATTCTCTAGTAAAAAGGAAACATTCATGGCAAATGTTTGCAGGATTGGGGGCAAGAGCCTTTTACTTTTCCCAACCACTTCCTCATCCCTGCAAGCCACTCCCCAAAAGCAACAGTTACTTATGTCGCAAGTGACACCTGCCCCAACTCTGGAAAAACAGCCTATTTTCTGACACTATTTAGTAGCGCTGACGGTTGGTGAGACCCTCCCTCTCTTCCCTAGGAGGCTCACCCTCCCCAAACCTCTCTCTCCAGCTTTCCTCCAGCTCTACATCAGGGCTGCACCCACACTCAGGCTCAGGGGCCGGCTGGTCCCTGTTCAGCTCACCTTCATTCACGTCGTCACTCTCCCGATCTATCTGGGCTTGTAAGACGTATCTTTTAATGAGCCTCTTCATAATTTTCTAGACAAAGGAGAAACCCAGCTCAGTTTTATGTTTATGACAAATCTTTCATTTGGAATAACTGTCTGGGTCTTTCCCCTGCAAGGACCTTAGAAGTAATGCTAAAAAAGACTAAGAGGATTTACCTGGCATGGAATGCACACTATCGGCAAATTATTACAGCAATTTTTACATTACCAGAGCTAATGACTCACAAGTTAATTCTTGAGAAAAGAATAGGCTTAGAAAAAACATCTACCCCTTGATGTTTACTGCTTATATTTTACTTGCAAAGTAGTAGAGCAAAACAATGCCTTTCCTTTGAGGAGGTTGACGGTGTGTATAGTACTGGATGTGGAAATGGCAAATTAAGCAAACATACACTCATTTATGTTTTGACCTCCCTTACCAAGAAAGGTAGTTTTGATTTTATACTTGCTAATAATTCAGAAACATCTAGTTTCTTTTTTTTTTAGTGCATTACTTCTATTTTTTAAAATTTATATTAGCATATAGTGCAATAATGATTTCAGGAGTAGAATGCAGTGATTCACTCCCTACATATAACACCCAGTGTTCATCGCAACAAGTGTCTTCCTTAATGCCCTTTGCCCATTTAGCCCTTCCCCCACCCACAATCCCTCCAGTAACCCTCAGTTTGTTCTCTATATTTAAGAGTCTCTTATGTTTTTCCCCCTCCCCGTTTTTATATTAGTTTCCCTTCCCTTATGTTCATCTGTTTTGTATCTTAAAGTCCTCATATGAGTGAAGTCATGATATTTGTCTTTCTCTAATTTTGCTTAGCGTAATACATTATAGTTCCATCCACATCGTTGTAAATGGCAAAATTTCATTATTTTTGATTGCTGAGTAATATTCCTGTGTGTGTGTGTGTGTGTGTGTGTGTGTGTGTGTGTGTGTGTGTATTTATACACACACACTCCACATCTTCTTTATCCATTCATCTGTCAATGGACATTTGGGCTCTTTCCTTAGTTTGTCTCTTGTCCATAGCACTGCAATAAACATTAGAGTATACGTACCCCTTCAAAACAGCATACCTATATCATCTGGATAAATACCTAGTAGCGCGATTGCTGGGTCTTAGGGTAGTTCTATTTTTTAATTTTTTGAGGAACCTCCGTAATGTCTTCCAGAGTGGCTGTACCAGTTTGCATTCCCATCAGGAGTGCAAAAGGGTTTCTCTTCCTCCACATCCTCGCCAACATCGTTGCCTGAGTTGTTAATTTTAACCATTCTAACAGGTGTGAGGTGGTATCTCATTGTGGTTTTGATTTGTTTTCCCTGATGATGAGTGATGTTGAACATTTTTTCATGTGTCTGTTTGCCATCTGGATGTCTTCTTTAGAAAAGTGCCTATTCATGTCTTTTGCACATTTCTTCACGGGATTATTTGGTTTTTGGGTGTTGAGTTTGATAAGTTCTTTATAGATTTTGGATACTAATCCTTTATCTGATATGTCATTTGCAAATAACTTCTCCCATTCCATTGGTTGACTTTTAGTTTTGCTGATTGTTTCCTTTGCTGTCCAGAAGCTTTTTGTTTTGATGAGGTCCCAGTAGTTCATTTTTGCTTTTGTTTCCCTTGCATCCAGAGATATGTTGAGTAAGAAGTTGCTGTGGCCAAGGTCAAAGAGGTTTTTTCCTGATTTCTCCTCTAGGATTTTGACGGCTTCCTGTCTTATGTTTAGGTCTTTCATCCATTTTGAGTTTATTTTTGTGTATGGTGTAAGATACTGGTCCAGGTTCATTCTTCTGCATGTCAGTGTCCAGTTTTCCCAGCACCATTTTTGAAGAGACTGTCTTTATTCCATTGGATATTCTTTCCTGTTCCATCAAAGATTAGTTGGCTATATGTTTGCAGGTCCATTTCTTGGTTCTCTACTCTGTTCCACTGATCTATGTGTCCGTTTTTGTGCCAGTACCATACTGTCTTTATGATTACAGATTTGTAATACATTTTGAAGTCTGGAATTGTGATGCCTCCAGCTTTGGTTTTCTTTTTCAGAACTGCTTTAGCTATTCAGGGTCTTTTCTGGTTCCATACAAATTTTAGGATTGTTTGTCCCTGCTCTGTGAAGAATGCTGGTGTTATTCTTATAGGGATTGCTTTGGGTACTATTGACATTTTAGCAATATTTGTTTCTCCAATCCATGAACATGGAATATTGCCCCCCCTTTTTTGGTGTCTTCTTCAGTTTTTCTCATAAACTTTTTATAGTTTTCGGTGTATAGATTTTTCACCTCTTCGGTTAGGTTTATTCCTAGGTATTTTATGTTTTGTGGTACAATTATAAATGGTACTGATTCCTTGATTTCTCTATCTGCTGCTTCATTATGGGGGTATCGAAATGCAACCAATTTCTGTGCATTGATTGTAAATCCTGTGACTTTGCTGAATTCATAGATCAGCTTTAGACGTTTTTGGTTGAAATCTTTTGGGTTCTCCATATAGAGTATCATGTCATCTGAGAAAAGTCGAAGTTTGACTTCCTCCTTGCTGATTTGGATGACTTTTATATCTTTGTGTTGTCAGATTGCTGAGGCTAGGATTTCCAACTATGTTAAAAAACAGTGGTGGGGGCGCCTGGGTGGCGCAGTCGGTTAAGCGTCCGACTTCAGCCAGGTCACGATCTCGCGGTCCGTGAGTTCGAGCCCCGCGTCAGGCTCTGGGCTGATGGCTCAGAGCCTGGAGCCTGTTTCTGATACTGTGTCTCCCTCTCTCTCTGCCCCTCCCCCGTTCATGCTCTGTCTCTCTCTGTCCCAAAAAAATAAATAAACGTTAAAAAAAAAAAAAAAAACCAGTGGTGAAAGTGGACATCCCTGTCATGTTCCTGACCTTGGGGGAAAGTTCTGTTTTTCTGCATTAAGGATATTAGCTGTGGGTCTTTTGTATATGGCCTTTATGATCTTGAGGTCTGATCCTTCCATCCCTATGTTCTTGAGGGTTTTTATCAAGAAATGATGCTGTATTCTGTCAAATGCTTATTCTGCATCTATTGAGAGGATCGTGTGGTTTTTATTCTTTCTTTCATTGATGTGATGCACCACATTGATTGTTTTGCGGATACTGACTCAGCCCTGTACCGGATTCAACAATACATTAAAAGAATCATTCACCACGATCCCACTTGAATAAGTTTGGAAGTTTTCCTTCCATTTCCAGTTTTTGGAACAGCTTCCCAAAGTAGGTGTTAACTCTTCTTTAAATGTTTGGTAGAATTCCCCTGGAAAGCCATCCAGCCCTAGACTCTTGTTTGTTGGGAGATTTTGGATTACTAATTCGATTTCTTTACTGGTTATGGGTCTGTTCAAATTTCCTATTTCTTCCTGTTTCAGTTTTGGTATTTTATGTTTCTAGGGATTTGTCCATTTCTTTCAGATTGCCCAATTTATTGGCATATAATTGCTCATAATATTCTCTTATTATTGGTTTCATTTCTGCTGTGTTGGTTGTGATCTCTTTCATTCTTGATTTTATTTATTTGGGTCCTTTCCTTTTTCTTTTTGATCCAACTGGCTAATGGTTTATCAATTTTGTTAATTCTTTCCAAGAACCAGATCTTGGTTTCATTGATCTGTTCTACTGTTTTGTTGTTGTTGTTGTTGGTTTCGACAGCATTGACTTCTGCTCTAATCTTTATTATTTCCCATATTCTGCTTGTTTGGGGTTTTATTTGCTGTTGTTTTTCCAGGTCTTTAAGGTGTATGTTAGGTTGTGTATCTGAGACCTTTCTTCCTTCTTTAGGAATGCCTGGATTGCTATATATTTCCCTCTTATGACTGCTTTCACTGCATCCCAGAGGTTTTGGGCTGTCATGTTATTTTAATTGGCTTCCATGTACTTTTTAATTTCCTCTTTAACTTCTTGGTTAACCCATTCCTTATTTAGTAGGAAGTTCTTTAATCTCCAAGTATTCATTGTCTTTCCAATTTTTTTCTTGTAGTCGATTTTGAGTTTCATAGTGTTGTGGTCTAAAAATATGCATGGTATGATCTTGATCTTTTTGTACTTGTTGAGGCCTGATTTGTGTCCTAGTATGTGATCTATTCTGGAGAATGTTCCATGTGTACTCAAGATGAATGTGTATTCCACTGCTTTAGGACAAAATGTTCTGAATATATCTGTTAAGTCCATCTGGTCCAGTGTGTAATTCAAAGCCATTGTTTCCTTGTTGATTTTATGCTTGGATGATCTGTCCATTGTTGTAAGTGGGGTGTTGAAGTCCCCTGCTATTATGGTATTATTATCAAGGAGTTTCTTTATGTTTGTGATTGACTGATTTATATATTTGGGTTCTCTCAGGTTGTGGGCATAAATGTTTACAATTGTTAGGTCTTTTGGTGGATAGACCCCTTAATTATGATATGATTCCCTTCCTCACTTCTTGTTACAGTCTTTATTTTAAAATCTAGATTGTCTGATATAACAATGGCTACTCCAGCTTTCTTTTGGCAACCATTAGCACGATAGATGTTTCTCCATCCCCTTACTTTCAATCTGAAGGTGTCTTTAGGTCTAAAGTGGATCTCTTGTAAACAGCATATAGATGGATCTTGTTTTCTTATCCATTTTGATACCCTTTGTCTTTTTATTGGAGCATTTAGTCCATTGACATTTAGAGTGAATACTGAAAGATATGAATTTATTGCCATTATGTTTCTTGTAGAGCTGGAGTTTCCGGTGGTGTTCTCTGGTCCTTTCTAGTCTTTGTTGGTTTTGGTATTTTTTGTTTTCTTTTGTTTTGTTTTGTTTTGTTTTGCTTCATCTTTTCTCCCCTCAGAAAGTCCCCCTTAAAATTTCTTGCAGGACTGGTTTAGTGGTCATGAACTTCTTTAGTTTTTGTTTGTCTGGGAAACTCTTTATCTCTCCTATTTCGAATGACAGCCTTTCTGGATAAACAATTCTTGACTGTATATTTTTTCCAATTCAGCATGTTGAATATATCCTGCCACTCCTTTCTAGCCTGCCAAGTTTCTGTGGATAGGTCTGCTGTGAACCTGATCTGTCTGCCCTTGTAGGTTAAGCATTTTTTTTTCCTTGCTGCTTTCGTAATTCTTTCCTTGTCTGTGTATTTTGTGAATTTGACCATGATATGCCTTGTTGATGGTTGGTTTTTGTTCAGTCTAATAGGAGTTCTCTGCGCTTCTTGGATTTCAATGTCTTTGTCTTTCCCCAGGTTAGGAACATTTTCCATTATGGTTTGCTCACATAAGCCTTCTACCCCTTTTTCTCTCTCTTCATCTTCTGGGATTCCTATGATTTGGATGTTATTCCTTTTTAATGAGTCACGGAGTTCTCAAATTCTTGTATCATTCTTTTGCCTTAGTTTCCCTCTTTTTTCTCTACTTCATTATTTTCTCTTCTGTATTGCTGATTCACTGCTCTGCCTCATCCATCCATGCTGCCGTGGCATCCATTCAACATAGCATGTCAGTTACAGCATTTAAAAAAAATTTTTTTTAACATTTATTTATTTTTGAGACAGAGAGAGATAGAGCATGAATGGGGTGGGTCAGAGAGAGAGGGAGACACAGAATCTGAAACAGGCTCCAGGCTCTGAGCTGTCAGCACAGAGCCCGAGGTGGGGCTCGAACCCACGAACTGCGAGATCGTGACCTGGGCTGAAGTCGGACGCTTAGCCAACTGAACCAACCAGGCGCCCCAGTTATAGCATTTTTAATTTCATCCTGACTAGATTTTACTTCTTTAATCTCTGCAGAAAGGGATTTATGCTTTTTTCAAACCCAGCTAATTCTTATTATCATGATTCTAAATACTAGTTCAGACATCTTGCTTATATCTGTGTTGATTAAGTCCCTGGCTGTCATTTCTTCCTGTTCTTTCTTTTGGGGTGAATTCCTTCATTTTGTCATTTTGGAAGAAGAAAAAGAATTAGTAAAATAAAAAATAAAATTATAAAGTTAAAAACAACACAAAAATTAAATAAAGGGAGCTAGATCCTAGATGTGTTTTGATTTGGTTTTGAAAGAAACTTGATAGAGAAAAAAGGGAAAGAAAAAAGGTAAGAAAAAATTTTAAAATGTTTAAAAATTATACAATAAAATAAAATGAAATGAGGTAAAATAGAATTTAAAATTTTACAAAAAAGAAAAAGTGTAGTAAAAATATTTTTAAAAGTTTTAAACTGAAAAAAAAATAAATTTTTCTCTTTCTGTATCCAAGAATAAGAAAAGAAAAAAACAAAAAAAAAAGAATAGATGGACCAGAGAACAGAATGAAATCCAAAATAAATTACATCCAGTTTCCCCTAAAAATCTAACTAGGATGCACTTTATAGTCTGTGTAGTAAGCAGGTGGAGAGACTTGTGGTGGTCCTCTAGGGCATGTTCTTGGAGGGCGCAATTGGGTAGGGCTTGGTGTAACAGCTCCGTTCTCCACTAGGTGGTGCTGCTTAGCTTAATGGGGTGTATAGGTGTGGCGTGCATGTGTGTTTATGCACAGGTGCGGGAGAGGTAAAAATGGCATCACCCAGCTTCACAGTCTCTAGCACCAGAATTCTATGCTCTCACTCAGTGGCAATCAAGCACCCCTCCTTTGTCTCTGGCTTCTGTCTGCTCCCTGCTTCTACACTGTCTGTGTCCAAGCTGTCAGCCTGCCAGGCACCTCTCTCCCAAATTTTATCTCAGATGGGGCTGTGTTTCCAAACCCCTCACTTCTGAGAGCCCTACAGCTTGGACCTCCTCCAACATTCTGAGGGAGGGTCTCACTGGGCAATGGCCAGGTGCTAGCTTGCCCCAGGTAACATTACTGTGGCTGCGCTCTTGCAGAGGTTCAGAGAATGTGGCCGGGTGCCTGCTTGCCCCAGGAAAAGTTCATGTGCTCACATGGCGGCAGAGGCTCAGAGATTATGGCAAAACACAACACACAGCTAGCACCAGGTTTAACCATGCCCTGGCATCTTTGTTCCAATACCAGAAAACATGGCTGTTCTCTGGGGTCCACTGGGACCTTTTCCTATGGGGAGGTTGTATGGCCTCCACCAAATGCCCTCCTAGCAGAGGAACGGCTTCTCCCCTGCGGCCCATGGACCCCTCAGACCTCACTGTATGCTCCTAGGGACTCAGAGCTCTGTCAGAACTCCCTATCAGAGCTCTGCCAGGTATTGAGCTGAGGAGTTTCCAACTCTGTGTTCCCCTGTTTACAGAGTCCTAATGGTACTGAAACCCTCTTCTTTCTCCTTTCTCCCTTTTTTGTTCAATCCATTGTGGGTGTTTTCACTCTTTCTCTTTCTCTCCATCTACTTTCAGGGGGAGTGCTTTTCCTATACTATACCTCCTGTCTCTGTCCCCTCTCTGCAAACAAAAACAGCCCCCTACCCTTCACAGCTTCTCTCTCCCCCAGTTCACCTCTCTGTGCCATGTACATGCTGAGTTCTGTGGTTCAAGTTAAGCAGATTGTTTTGTCAATCCTAACATCAATTTTCCACGTGTGAAAAATGGGTTGTGCTGATCTAGCTGCATTTCAGGGATGAGAGAAGCCTAGAACTTCCAGGCTGCTCCACCCCCTCCCAGTGCACTGGCATGTCTAGTTTCAATGTAACAAAGTTTTCCCCCATCTGGGCTTCAACCATGAGAATGTTGGAAATGCAGGAGGTTCAGTACCATGTGCGGGAAGTCCTGGGTGGATATATAGTTAAACCAAATCTAACTCTCTAAACCCCAAATTAAATGGTGGACAGTAAAATTCCACTTTTAAGAACTTATTCTAAGGATGTAACTGGGTGCATGGACAATGTTCATAGTAGTACTACTTATAATAGTAGAAAAAAACTGTTAAAGTTCCATCAATAGGAAATTATTTTAATTATCATATATTTGTACAAAGAGTACTATACATCCATTAAAATTAATATCAATATGTTTTGTGAAGTGAAAAACTGTTAGCCATTATTTAAGTACTATTAACTCCTTTATATACTTTATATACAGTTATATAATATTGAAGTACATGTAAAATTATACATATACACATAATCACCTGGCAGAATATCACCAAATAAGTAGTCTTTAAATCTCAGTAGTGGGTTTTGAGGTACACTTTATTCTCTCCTGTATGTTTTTTTGTGAGGATAGACTTTTTACAATGAACATATAGGCCTTTTACAATGAACATGTAGACTCTAAGCTCTGGGATGCCAAGACTTCATCTATTTTATTTACTTATGTATCTCCAGTCCTTAGAAAGTATAGGCACATATTTGTTGAATTCATGCATTATTTTGATATTGAGAAAAACAACATAATAGTTCATTTTCACTTAAAGAATCACATAGTTTGGGATTTTAAATATTACAAATAACTAGTCTTAGTTTTCTAAAAAAAAAAAATCGTGCTTACCTGATACTTTCCTGGAGGATTATTGAAACTATTTAACTGGAAATCTTGTGAGCCCCTTATACTTGATTGTTTACTATGCCCAAGCTGTAATTTGAAAAGAATCAAAAATTCTTATTTTTCTTCTAAATAATGTAATGATATTTACTAGTTATTATAGGAATTTATAAGTTACATATATAAATTTTTCATTTAATTTGCTTTATAGTCTATCTTCCAAGACGAACCAGAGGCACCTGAGGGGTGCTGGATCTCTCAATGGTTATTCAAGGTTGTCTGAGGACTTTCATAGACTTCATGGCTATCAGTCATGTAGTCATAACAGTCATGCTTTAACATTCTCACAGGCACATCTCTGAGAGAGGAGGAGGCAAACAAGTTGGGGAAGTGATGGTGGTGATCTAAGAAGTCCTCTGTTAAGGGAGCAACAGGCCAGCATCCATGAGCACTACACCCACACTTGTAGGTGGGTGCCTGAAGTAACACAAGGGTAAGACTTTGTTGTGAGACAGAGTTCAGGGGCCAATAAAAAACAAATTAATGCATTTGAATTTTAGGATCTACATAGTATCACATTTGGGCAGTACTTTTGAAACCATATATTTGCTTGAACAGGCAAATAAAAAAGATCTAAAACAATCTGCAATTAAGGTGGTAAAGTCCTGTATACACACGCTAACAGGACACCTGGGTGGCTCAAGCTGTTAAGCGTACAAGTTCATCTCAGGTCATGATCTCACGGTCCATGAGTTCGAGCCCCGCATTGGTGCTGTGCTCAAAGTTCAGAGACTGGAGCCTGCTTCAGATTCTGTGTGTCTCTCTCTCTGCCCCTGCCCCACTCATGCTCTCTCTCTCTCAAAAATGAATAAATGTTAAAAACTTTTTTTTAAAAAAAACATGCTAAGAAAATGATTAAAAAAACTCTTCATGGCATTCTCTAAAAGGAAAAACATGGTTTTAAAAATAAATAAGTAGGAGAACCTGAGCAAAACACATCAGCTTCACATTTGTGTTTTTGTTTTTGTTGTTGTTGTTGTTTTTGGTGTACAACTGTTTTCCAAGGGACAAGAAACTTCAAGACCATCTTCAAAGACAGTGATGATTCATATTTCCCAATGGCATCTAAGTTGCTGTAAGTAAATCTCATTGAGAATTAAAGTCCTTAACTTCAATGCCTTGATGCTTTAAATGGCCACATGCTGACCTAAAACAGCTATGCACACATTCATCCAGTAAACACTGGACATTGATGGAGTGCCCTCTATATGAAGATGCTGTGCTATGGATTCTGGGTATTCAGTGAAGAACATAACAATCATTATCTTGCTAAGTTATATGCACAGGAAGAATATACTAAGGCTGATAAGATCCATAAAAACACAATATGCAATTTTGAAAATATTAGCACCCCTTTTCATGTAGCTATTTCCCCTTGTCTTTCAACCTCTCTAACAGTGTCAGCAAAATATCCATATTCTTTCACTTTATATTAACTTTAAACATAATTAAGATAAAATTATACAATTGGCCAAATGAACCAAAGAGAGGCAACTTGGATTCTCTAATAAAAGAGTGCTTGACAGAAATGTGAAGACTAAGGCTCTGCCACAACAGCTCTGGAGCAGCAGGTGAGATGCTGGAACTTTCTGCACTGTCTCCAACAATGAAGGGACTAGTCCAGTGGATACCTATTCTCCTTCAAGTCCTACTAATCTATGGATGTGGGAAACAAATGCAAACTTCAACATGTTTTTAACAATGTAATTTTTAATATTTATTCTTAAAAATAGTTATTCATTTATCTTTATGATGATATAATGCTTCCTGGCTTTCAAACTATGACTTATGCTTTAAGGGCACCATTAAACGTGACGACAAGATTCAAGCCCACTTTCATCCCCCATTTTTCATGATATAGCATGGAGGTGAGGACAGGTTCATAATCAGAGGAGAGGATCCGGACAAAGGGATCTTTGTGCATTGTGCCTTTGACTTATTTACCACCTATTCATTAATTTACAACCTCATGATTGGAAGTTATTAATTTGATGTCTCCTTCTTTCGTTAGGGGTCACTAGTACATCCAAAAAGTGTTCATGGAAATAAGAAAGTGAAAAAAATATGTTTCTTTGGGATTTTTATTTTTTTGAAGATGAAGAAACCTTAACATTTGATATGTCAATCACCTCCAGTTAAGGCAGCTCAGGACACTACATGCCTAT